TAGGCTTTCCTGTCTCCTCATGATGTGGCCAAAGTACTTCAACTTTGTCTCTAGTATCTTCCCTCCAGTGAGCAGTCGGGCTTTATTTCCTGGAGGATGGACTGGTTGGGTCTTCTCGCAGTCCAAGGCACTCTCAGCACTTTCCTCCAACACCACAGCTCAAAAGCATCTCTCTTCCTTCGCTCAGCCTTCCCTAAGGTCCAGCTCTCACATCCGTAGGTGACTACAGGGAAGACCATGGCTTTGACTAGGCAATGGATCTTTGTTGCCAGTCTGATGTCTCTACTCTTCACTATTTTATCGAGACTGGACATTGCTCTCCTCCCAAGAAGGAAGCGTCTTCTGATTTCCTGGCCACAGTCTGCATCTGCAGTCATCTTTGCACCTAGAAATACAAAGCCTGTCACGGCCTCCACGGTTTCTCCTTCTATTTTCCAGTTGTCAATCATTCTTGTTGCCATAATCTTGGTTTTTTTGACGTTTAGCTGCAACCCGGCTTTTGCGCTTTCTTCTTTCACCTTGATTAGAAGGCTCCTCAGCTCCTCCTCGCTTTCGGCCATCAGAGTGGTGTCATCTGCATATCTGAGGTTGTTAATGTTTCTTCCAGCCATTTTCACCCCAGCCTTGCATTCATCCAGCCCCGCACATCCTCGCATGATGTGTTCTGCATACAAGTTAAAAAGGTTGGGTGAGAGGATGCAGCCTTGCCGGACGCCTTTCCCAATCTGGAACCCGTCTCCTGTTCCGTGGTCAGTCCTACTGGGTATAACATCAAATTTAAAGATGGATAAAAATACTGATAAATTACTAGTTTTGGCAACAACAGCAGCAAGGATATGCTTTGCTAAACTTTGGAGGAAGAAAGAAATACCAAAGTTAGATGACTGGAAAAGAAAAGTGATGGAAGTCAGGAACATGGATAGTCTGAGTTTCATTATCCAAAGAAACAAAGGAATAATGGAAACGGAAACTGACTGGACAAAATTTAAGGAATATTTAAAACTAAACAATTAAATCTAAGAATAAAACTAAAAAGAATGCACACAAATATAAAAAAAGAATGCACACAAATATAAAAAAAGAATGCACAAAAATATAGAAGAAAACTTAAGAAATTACGAAAAAGAACAAGAAGAAAGGGTTTGAGAAGGAGATGGACATAAACCACGTATTAGTCGATATAAGGCACTGAAAATAGAGAGAAGAGAGAAGAAGGAATGAAAGGAAAGGATAAGACCTCCTCCAAAGAATCCTGGAAGTCACATGGAATGAAGAATGAACCCTCCTGAATCTTTTCTTTTAACTGCCACTTTTATTTCCCTCACATAAACCCTTTTCTCCCCTTCTACACCCCCCCCCCACCACTTCCCCATCTCTCTCCTCTAAATCTCTATTCCCCACTCTATAACCTTCCTCCCCTCTTTTCCCCCAAATTCTACTGTCTGTATATTTAAGAAAATTGCAATAAAAATTATTTTTAAAAAAAACAACAGCCTCTGTTTAAAAGCTTTCAAAGAAGGAGCCTCCACCACACTCCAGGGCAGAGAGTTCCACTGCTGAACAACTCTCACAGTCAGGAAGTTCTTCCTCATGTTCAGGTGGAATCTCCTCTCTTGTAGTTTGAAGCCATTGTTCCATGCGTCCTAGTCTCCAGGGAAGCAGAAAACAAGCTTGCTCCCTCCTCCCTGTGGCTTCCTCTCACATATTTATACATGGCTATCATATCTCCTCTCATCCTTCTCTTCTTCAGGCTAAACAGCTCCTTAAGCCACTCCTCATAGGGCTTGTTCTCCAGACCCTTGATCATTTTAGTCGCCCTCCTCTGGACACATATTTATACATGGCCCTCATCATGTCTCCTCTCAGCCTTCTCTTCTGTAGGCTAAACATGCCCAGCTCTTTCAGCCACTCCTCATAGGGCTTGTTCTCCAGACCCTAGATCTGCTCCCTCCTCCCTGTGGCTTCCTCTCACATATTTATACATGGCTATCATCTCCTCTCAGCCTTCTCTTCTTCAGGCTAAACATGCCCAGCTCCTTAAGCCGCTCCTCATAGGGCTTGTTCTCCAGACCCTTGATCTGCTCCCTCCTCCCTGTGGCTTCCTCTCACATATTTATACATGGCCCTCATCATATCTCCTCTCAGCCTTCTCTTCTTCAGGCTAAACATGCCCAGCTCCTTAAGCCGCTCCTCATAGGGCTTGTTCTCCAGACCCTTGATCTGCTCCCTCCTCCCTGTGGCTTCCTCTCACATATTTATACATGGCTATCATGTCTCCTCTCAGCCTTTTCTTCTTCAGGCTAAACATGCCCAGCTCTTTAAGCCGCTGTTCTGTGTCCTAGTCTCCAGAAGCAGAAAACAAGCTTGCTCCCTCCTCCCTGTGGCTTCCTCTCACATATTTATACATGGCTATCATATCTCCTCTCAGCCTTCTCTTCTTCAGGCTAAACATGCCCAGCTCATTAAGCCGCTCCTCATAGGGCTTGTTCTCCAGACCCTTGATCATTTTAGTCGCCCTCTTTCTCTGGACACATTCCAGCTTAGAGTCAATATCTCTCTTGAAAGCATGTTAGGACATGCTTTTCCTAAGACACATCACAATACAAACAACACACCCATTCTTCCATCTCATCCTGAATGTTATCATTCCATGTCCATGCAGCCCACTCACCATGACTGTGTTTGGTTTTTCTCTGTATTATTTTGCATTTTATTTTTTTTTATTTTTATTATGTTTTATGCTTCACTTATCCTATTGCAATGTTGTTTTTTATGCTTTTGTGTTAAGTTGCTGTTATGTTATTGTAATTGTACTACCGGGCTTGGCCTCATGTAAGCCGCCCCGAGTTCCCTTTGGGGAGATGGTGGTGGGGTATAAATAAAGATGATTATTGGGTTGTTGTAGGTTTTTTGGGCTATATGGCCATGTTCTAGAGGCATTCTCTCCTGACGTTTCGCCTGCATCTATGGCAAGCATCCTCAGAGGTAGTGAGGTCTGTTGGAACTAGGAAAAAGGGTTTATATATCTGTGGAATGACCTGGGTGGGACAAAGAACTCTTGTCTGTTGGAGCTAGGTGTGAATTGGTTGTTGTAGGTTTTTCCGGGCTATATGGCCAGGATGCTTGCTATAGGATGCTTTTCTCCTGACGTTTCGCCTGCATCTATAGCAAGCATCCTCAGAGGTTGGGAGGTCTGTTGGAACTAGGAAAAAGGTATATATCTGTGGAATAATGACCAGGGTGGGACAAAGGACTCTTGTCTGCTGGAGCTAGGTGTGAATGTTTGTTGTAGGTTTTTTCGGGCTATATGGCCATGTTCTAGAGGATTCTCTCCTGACATTTCGCCCATCTCCCCCCTCCCCCGAATTAGAAATACTTATAATTACTGTTAACTCAGTTCTTGTGGGTTTTTTTGGGCTATATGGCCATGTTCTAGAGGCATTCTCCTGACGTTTCGCCTGCATCTATGGCAAGCATCCTCAGAGGTAGTGAGGTCTGTAGAAACTAGAAAAAAAGGGGTTTATATATCTGTCTTCATCACAAGTACATTTGGCGGGGATGAGAGACAGGGCCTTCCCGGACAATCTTAAGAACCTCACTACCTCTGAGGATGCTTGCCATAGATGCAGAGGTAGTGAGGTCTGTTGGAACTAGGAAAATGGGTTTATATATCTGTGGGTGGGACAAAGAACTCTTGTCTGTTGGAGCTAGGTGGGAATGTTTCAACTGACCACCTTGATTAGCATTTGATGTCCTGGCTGTTGTTTAGTGCCTGGAGCAATCTTTTGTTGAGAGGTGATTAGAAGTCCCTGATTGTTCCCTCTTGTTTTAGGTTTTTCAACAGAAAGGAGGAAACCATGAAAATGAACAAAATCTGGCTACCAGTATTAAAAAACTCTAAAATTATAACAGCAAAACAACAGAGGGGAAACAATCTGGGACATCTAATCACCTCTCAACAAAAGTTTGCTCCAGGCACTGCCAGGCCATCAAATGCTAATCAAGGTGGTCAGTTGAAACATTCACACCTAGCTCCAGCAGACAAGAGTCCTTTGTCCCACCCTGGTCATAATTCCACAGATATATATAGAAACCCTTTTTCCTAATTCCAACAAACCTCACTACCTCTGAGGATGCTTGCCATAGTTGCAGGCGGAATGTCAGGAGAGAATGCCTCCAGAACATGGCCAGATAGCCCGAAAAAACCTACAACAACCCAGTGATTCCGGCCATGAAAATCTTCAACAATACATTATTATTATTATTATTATTATTATTATTATCATCATCATCATCATTATTTATATATCTGTGGACATCTAATTACCTCTCAACAAAAGATTGCCCCAGGCACTGCCAGGCCATCAAATGCTAATCAAGGTGGTCAGTTGAAACATTCCCACCTCGCTCCAGCAGACAAGAGTCCTTTGTCCCACCATGGTCATTCCACAGATATATAAACCCGTTTCCCTACTTCCAACAGACCTCACTACCTCTGAGGATGCTTGCCATAGATGCAGGCGAAACATCAGGAGAGAATGCTAGAGGCACTGCCAGGCCATCAAATGCTAATCAAGGTGGTCAGTTGAGACATTCACACCTAGCTCCAACAGACAAGAGTCCTTTGTCCCACCCTGGACATAATTCCACAGATATATAAACCCTTGGTCCTAATTCCAACAGACCTCACTACCTCTGAGGATGCTTGCCATAGATGCAGGCGAAACATCAGGAGAGAATGCCTCTAGAACATGGCCTTATAGCCCGAAAAAACCTACAACAACCCAATGATTCCGGCCATGAAAGCCTTCAACAATACATCAAAGGAATTTGTTTATGTGTCTTTCAAACTATGGTCTGTGCTGAAGTCTCGGGGACCACGAACCGGCCTTCAGCTTGAAATGTTTGAAGACCCTCCTCCCGCCCGAGAGGCAAAAGCATGCACTTCCACAAATGCAACCGTGACAGCACGCTTTTCCTCTTCCTCCCTCTTTTCCCAGGAGTCGTGATGCGGAATCCGCACCCGCTTTCCTTGGTGGCCGCGCTGGCCCTCCCGGTCTGGCTGCTGATGGAGCTTCCGGCCACCAGCGGATACATCCATGCGGTGAGTCCTTTGGGGCTTGGGAAGCCTGGGAAGGGCAGCGGGCTTGCAGCTCCCAGCATCTCACCACGTTGTAGGTAGGGCTGCAAACGTCCCTCGGAATATTTATTTATTTACTTTGCTTCTATACCGCTGTTCTCAGCCCGGAGGCAACTCACGGCGGTTCACAAGACACAGGACATAGCAAAATTTAACACCAATATAAAGCAGTTAATAACCTAATCTAATACACAATTAATACACAATTACTATAATAACCATTCACTAAGGTCTCATCACTAAAAACATGATCCAGATTCATCATCCATCGTTCCATTCCTATGTCATTACCAGTCATTGCACAATTATTCGAACGCCTGCTGAAATAACCAGGTCTTTACTTTCTTGCGGAATGCCATTAGAGATGGTGCTAACCTAATATCTGTGGGAAGGGCGTTCCACGGCCGGGGAGCCACCACCGAGAAGACTATCTCTCGTCCCCGCCAGCCGTGCTTGTGACACTGGCGAGATCGAGAGCAGGGCCTCCCCGGAAGATCTCAAAGTCCTGGTGGGTTCATAGTCCGAGATGCGGTCAGATAGGTAGCTTGGGCCGGAACCGTTTAGGGCTTTAAAGGCCAACGCCAGCACTTTGAATTGAGCCCGGTAGCAGATCGGCAGCCAGTGGAGCTGATGCTCCCTGCGTTCCGCTCCTGTTAGTATCATGGCTGCCGCACGTTGGACCAATTGAAGCTTCCGGGCCGTCTTCAAAGGCAACCCCACGTAGAGAGCGTTGCAGTAGTCTAAACGGGATGTAACCAGAGCGTGGACTACCATGGCCAAGTCAGACTTCCCAAGGTACGGGCGCAGCTGGCGCACAAGCTTTAGCTGTGCAAATGCTCCCCTGGTCACCGCCGAAACCTGGGGTTCCAGGCTCAGCGATGAGTCCAGGATCACACCCAAGCTGCGAACCTGCGTCTTCAGGGGGAGTGCGGCCCCATCCAACACAGGCTGTAACCCTATGCCCTGTTCGGCCTTGCGACTGACCAGGAGGACCTCTGTCTTGTCTGGATTCAGTTTCAATTTGTTCGCCCTCATCCAGACCGTCACAGCGGCCAGGCACCGGTTCAGGACCTGAACAGCCTCCTTAGTAGTAGGTGGAAAGGAGTGACAGAGTTGGACATCATCTGCGTACAGATGGCACCGTACCCCGAAACTCTGGATGATCTCTCCCATTGTGCCCTGATTGACCTGATGTACTCGAATCTAACGCTCACCTTTTTGGGCTAAATCACCTCACCAGAATGAGGGTGCGCATTAGATTTGCATCATACGGTCATCTTAGTGCTGAGCCAAAGTCAAAAGGGAAGATGTGTCAGGAGCGTCTCTTAGTCACCTCCAGATTGGACTACTGTAATGCACTCTACGTGGGGCTGCCCTTGAAAACATCCCAGAAATTTCAATTGATTCAACGAGCGGCGGCCAGGTTGTTAACTGGCGCTTCTTACAGGGAGCGGTCAACCCTCCTGTTTAAGGAGCTCCATTGGCTGCTGTTCATTTTCCGGTCCCAATTCAAGGTGCAGGTGTTTACCTACAAAGCCCTAAATGATTTGGGACCTGCCTACCTGCATGACCACATTTCTGTGTATGAATTCACACGAGCTCTTCGATCATCTGGAGAGGCCCTGCTCGCACTCCTGCCTCCATCGCAAGTGCGATTGGCGGGGACGAGGGACAGGGCCTTCTCGGTGGTGGCCCCTCGATTCTGGAACTCACTCCCCAGAGACATCAGACATGTCCAACGTTGGTTGTTCCAGTGTGCCTTCCCAGAATAAGGAAACTCCCAGCAATATGCCCCTAAACGCACTTGAGTAGTGATCTAGGATTGTCTGCATGCCCCATCCCTCTCCAAAATTTCTATCCTGTTTATATGTCACCTTGTCACGCCCAGCATTATTTTCTAAATTTTTAATTAGTACATTTGGCCCTGCCATAGGTTTTTAAATATCATTGAGTTATTGTTAATGTTTATTGCAATTTTCTGTTTATGAGTTTTGTCATGAATGACTTTTCAATCACTTTGAAGCATAGGTTCTTTTTCTTGCAATGTCCAGTGTGAGAAGGTATATCAGATTACAGAAAACATTCAGACAAAGAATTGACATTGAACATACAGACATACAGATTCTATGCAACTACCTTGGATTTACAATTACATTGGTTAACAAACAAACCAAGGGGAACTACATTTTCACTCAACATTCACACCACATGTACACACATTCATCCACAACATGCATCCAAATATGACCATATCCTTTTCTCCCTCCTTGGAGAAGCACCTGTTAGGCCAGACCCTGATTCCCTGCAGCCTGCCAACGCATAGTTCCATAACTTCCATAACGCCAAAACTTCAAAACACTGAGATGCCAAAACTTCTTTCCCTATGCACAATGCCAAGGACCAGATCCCTGTTTTCCATACAGCAGAACCTGACTCCCTGCACAAAATCCAAGACTCCAGAAGCGCCCTTCTTCTTCCTCTTCCCTTGAGAAAGAAGCCTCAAAGTGTCCAGAATCATGCTTTCCCAGAGCATATCTGACACTCTCCGAATACACCACCTCTCTTCTTCCCATGGAGCAGAGCATGGCGGGTGGAACAGACTCCTCAGGTCTGCCACACTTTGAGCATTATTAGACTGAGTCTTTTATAGGAATATTCTGCTGATGTCATCCCAAAGTTGTAAATTAATGATAGACATCTTCCATCCTGGCTCCATCTCAGTTTCCTGGCCAGATGTTGATCTTCTTGATTGGTGTTGATCTTATGTTGACTTCCTTCTTAACTTAAGGAAGGTTGCAAACATTTCCTTTATCACTGTCCCAGTTCTTATCACAGTTTACTCTTCAGATCTCATTAGCAGGTTTTAATCACAAAGCAGCAAGCAGGTAGATAGTCATGGCAGGCCTTAATACTGGTGTTTCCAAAATTATTAGCTCCATCCATACATCCTTCCATTCTTCCATTCATCCTCACACATCATTATTAAATTCACATTTATCAAATTTTCACATTGAGTTTCTTATTACAGTTTTATTTATTGTTGTATTACTGTTGCTATTGTTTTATTGTTGTATTGTGGGCACGGCCTCATGTAAGCCACACCGAGTCCCTTGGGGAGGTGGTAGCGGGGTACAAATAAAGTTTAATAATAATAATAATAATAGTAATAATAATAATAATAATAATTTGAAGGACATCATCTCTACTTTAATGGCTATTGCTCAGGCATGGGCCAACTTTGGCCCTCTGGGTGTTTTGGATTTGGTCCATGCTTGCTTAAATTCTCTGCTGTTTTTTTGGGAAAATTCCCTAACATTCCTTCTCTTCCTCCTTCCTCCCTTCCTTCCTTCCTTCCTCAGATGTCGGACCACAACACCAGCATGGACTTCTCCGACCTGCCGGCCATGTTTGGGAGCCCGTTGCCCCGCGAGGGACTGGTGGTGGGTACCTGCCCGTTCCTGGTGCCGCTTTGGGAGGGGAGGGGGTTCCATTCCCGGCCTGTCTCCCCTAAACCCGAGGCTCCCTTCCTCTCCCTTCCAGGCCTACTTGGTGGAGTCCCGCCCGGCCAACGCCTGCCAGCCCTTGGAGGGGCCCCCCAACAACAGGAGCCTCTTCGTGGCCCTCGTCCAGCGCTACGACTGCAACTTCGACGTCAAGGTGGGCCTCCCTTGGCCACGGCACAAAGAGGGAGGGGGGCTCTGAAAGCAACAACACCACTGCTTTATTTTTGTGCACATGTATAATAATAATCAATAACTATTATTATTATTATTATTAGTTATGCACCTTGAGCTGTGAGAAGAGTTAGAAAATAAGTACATTTATTTTGTTGTTGTTGTTATTTGTCCATCTTGAGTTGTGAGGAGAGGCAGGAAACAAGTGCATTATTATTATTATTATTATTATTATTATTATTATTATTATTATTAGTTATGCACATTGAGCTATGAGAAGAGGCAGGAAATAAGTAGATTTATTGTTGTTGTTATTATTATTTGTCCATCTTGAGCTGTGAGGAAAGGCAGGAAACAATTTCTTTATTATTATTATTATTACTACTATTATTATTGTTATTAGTTATGCACCTTGAGCTATGAGAAGAGGCAGGAAATAAGTACGGTACATTTATGATAATTATTGTAGTTGTTATTTGTCCATCTTGAGTTGTGAGAAGAGACAGGAAACAAGTACATGTATTGTTGTTGTTATTGTTATTAGTTATGCTCCTTGAGGTATGATAAGATGCAGGAAACAAGTACATTTATTGCTGTTGTTATTTGTGCATCTTGAGTTGTGGGGAGAGGCAGGAAACAAATTCATTATTATTATTATTATTATTATTATTATTATTATTATTATTATTATTAGATCTGCATCTTGAGCTATGTGAAGAGGCAGGAAATAAGTACATTCATTATTGTTGCTATTGCTGTTGTTGTTATTTGTCCATCTTGAGTTGTGGGGAGAGGCAGGAAACAAGTGCATTATTATTATCATTATTATTATTATTATTATCATTATTATTATTAGTTATGCACCTTGAGCTATGATAAGATGCAGGAAACAAGTACATTTATTGCTGTTGTTATTTGTGCATCTTGAGTTGTGGGGAGAGGCAGGAAACAAGTGCATTATTATTATCATTATTATTATTATTATTATCATTATTATTATTAGTTATGCACCTTGAGCTATGAGAAGAGGCAGGAAATAAGTACATGTATTATTATTGCTGTTGTTGTTGTTATTTGTCCATCTTGAGTTGTGGGGAGAGGCAGGAAACAAGTGCATTATTATTATCATTATTATTATTATTATTATCATTATTATTATTAGTTATGCACTTTGAGCTATGAGAAGAGGCAGGAAATAAGTACATGTATTATTATTGCTGTTGTTGTTGTTATTTGTCCATCTTGAGTTGTGGGGAGAGGCAGGAAACAAGTGCATTATTATTATCATTATTATTATTATTATTATCATTATTATTATTAGTTATGCACCTTGAGCTATGAGAAGAGGCAGGAAATAAGTACATGTATTATTATTGCTGTTGTTGTTGTTGTGGTTATTTGTTCATCTTGAGATGTGGGGAAAGGCAGGAAACAAGTGCATTATTATTATTATTATTATCATTATTATTATTAGTTATGCACCTTGAGCTATGATAAGATGCAGGAAACAAGTACATTTATTGCTGTTGTTATTTGTGCATCTTGAGTTGTGGGGAGAGGCAGGAAACAAGTTCATCATCATTATTATTATTATTATTATTATTATTATTAGATCTGCATCTTGAGCTATGTGAAGAGGCAGGAAATAAGTACATTCATTATTGTTGCTATTGCTGTTGTTGTTATTTGTCCATCTTGAGTTGTGGGGAGAGGCAGGAAACAAGTGCATTATTATTATCATTATTATTATTATTATTATCATTATTATTATTAGTTATGCACCTTGAGCTATGAGAAGAGGCAGGAAATAAGTACATGTATTATTATTGCTGTTGTTGTTGTTATTTGTCCATCTTGAGTTGTGGGGAGAGGCAGGAAACAAGTGCATTATTATCATTATTATTATTATTATTATCATTATTATTATTAGTTATGCACCTTGAGCTATGTGAAGAGGCAGGAAATAAGTACATGTATTATTATTGCTGTTGTTGTTGTTGTGGTTATTTGTTCATCTTGAGATGTGGGGAAAGGCAGGAAACAAGTGCATTATTATTATTATTATTATCATTATTATTATTAGTTATGCACCTTGAGCTATGATAAGATGCAGGAAACAAGTACATTTATTGCTGTTGTTATTTGTGCATCTTGAGTTGTGGGGAGAGGCAGGAAACAAGTTCATCATCATTATTATTATTATTATTATTAGATCTGCATCTTGAGCTATGTGAAGAGGCAGGAAATAAGTACATTCATTATTGTTGCTATTGCTGTTGTTGTTATTTGTCCATCTTGAGTTGTGGGGAGAGGCAGGAAACAAGTGCATTATTATCATTATTATTATTATTATTATCATTATTATTATTAGTTATGCACCTTGAGCTATGAGAAGAGGCAGGAAATAAGTACATGTATTATTATTGCTGTTGTTGTTGTTATTTGTTCATCTTGAGTTGTGGGGAAAGGCAGGAAACAAGTGCATTATTATTATTATTATTATTATTATTATTATTATTTATGCACCTTGAGCTATGAGAAGAGGCAGGAAACAAATACATTAATTGTTGTTGTTGTTGTTGTTTGTCCATCTTGAGTTGTGGGGAAAGCTAGGAAACAAGTACATTATTATTACTATTATTATTATTATTATTATTATTAGTTATGCACCTTGAGCTATGAGAAGCAGGAAATATTTATTATTTTTGCTGTTGTTGTTATTTGTCCATCTTGAGTTGTGAGGAGAGGCAGGAAGCAAGTAAATTCATTGAATGCATGACTATTATTATTATTATTATTATTATTATTATTATTATTATTATTATGAGTAGTAGTAGTAGTATTGTTATAGTGTGTAGCATGATTTTTATTCCTGGGTTATTGATGCCACTTTATTCTATCATAAAACATGGGGAAAGTGTATTAAACTGCAATCTCGTCATCGAGTTCCAAACCAGTTCAGCCCAGTTTGCTTGTGGCAGCCACAAAAACAAAGTTTCTGGAGTAGTTTCAGAAAGCCTTCGACAACACATTTCTGGAGTAGAACAACTACTTTCAAAGTACTTTCACACACTAAAAGACATATGCATTGGAGTATTAAATTATTATTATATAATATATTAAATATATTATTATATATTTATTATATATTAAATGATTATTATATTGTTGTTGTTATTTTTTGTTGTCCACCTTGAGGTTTGAGGAGAGGCAAGAAACAAGTACAATTATTGTTATTGTTGTTATTATTATTATTATTATTATGTTTTTTCTTTCTTGAAAGAGACTCAAAACACATTGCTAAAACAATACAATGTGTAATTTAAAACCTAAGACATATAAGCACTAAAATAGCCTTATGTGTAGAAGTTTTATTACCCCCCCCCCCCTTTTTTTTTTTTTTTTTTTTTTGCAGGTCTTCCATGCCCAGCAGGCCGGCTACTCTGCGGCCATCGTCCACAATGTGGGTTCGGACAACCTCCTCAACATGGTCTGGGATGATGGTGAGTGAGCGAGGGTCCAGGGAGCGGTCAGTGTCCCAAGGGCTGGGGAAGGGGCCTTTCCGGACCCATTACTTCCCCATTGTCCTTGTGTGTGTGTGTGTGTGGGGGGGGGGGTCTTTTCTGTGTATCTGACCCCTTCTTCTTCCTCTCCTTCCTCTCCTTTTTCCCCCAGAGCACCTGCACAAGCTCATCAGCATCCCTTCCGTCTTCATTGGCGAAACGGCCGCCACGTACCTGCGCAGGATCTTCACTTACGAAAAAGGGTAGGAACACAAGGGCACAAAGGGGGGGGGGGCTTCTTTATTTTGGGGGGAGGGCACTAAAGCCTTTTTTTCAGCCGAGAGGGGGGTGATGGCACTACGTTTCCCCTTTAGCTCAGACATGGGCCAACTTTGGCCCTCCCTCCACGTCTTTTGGACTCCCAACTCCCACAATTCCTAATAGGTCGTAGGATGTTAGGAATTGTGGGAATTGAAGTCCAAATCACCTGGAGGGAGAACCCAAGTTGGCCCATGCACGTTTTAGCTGCTTGAAATCCCATTGTCCTCTGCAACCCTAGGATTTGCAGTTTAGGCTCGTACCAGAGCACTTCTGTGGCCACGAGTTCAGAAGTAAAGAATACGAGAGGAAAAACATAGACAATACAGAAAAGCTGATTTCCATAACATTATGTTATTGTTGTTGTTATTATTATTATTAATAATAGTAATAGTAGTAGTAGTTATGCATCTTAAGCTGTGAGTTGTTGTTGTTATTAATAGTAATAGTAGTAGCAGTAGTTATGCACCTTGAGCTGTGAGTTGTTATTATTATTAATAGTAATAGTAGTAGTAGTTATGCACCTTGAGCTGTGAGTTGTTGTTGTTGTTATTAATAGTAGTAGTAGTAGTAGTAGTAGTTATGCACCTTGAGCTGTGAGTTGTTATTATTATTATTATTATTATTAATAATAATAATAATAGTAATAGTAGTAGCAGTAGTTATGCACCTTGAGCTGTGAGTTGTTGTTGTTGTTATTAATAGTAGTAGTAGTAGTAGTAGTTATGCACCTTGAGCTGTGAGTTGTTATTATTATTATTAATAATAATAATAATAATAGTAATAGTAGTAGCAGTAGTTATGCACCTTGAGCTGTGAGTTGTTGTTGTTGTTGTTGTTATTAATAGTAATAGTAGTAGTAGTAGTTATGCACCTTGAGCTGTGAGTTGTTGTTGTTGTTATTAATAGTAATAGTAGTTGTAATAGTAGTAGTAGTTATGCACCTTGAGCTGTGAGTTGTTATTATTATTAATAATAATAATAGTAATAGTAGTAGCAGTAGTTATGCACCTTGAGCTGTGAGTTGTTGTTGTTATTAATAGTAATAGTAGTAGTAGTAATGCACCTTGAGCTGTGAGTTGTTGTTATTAATAGTAATAGTAGCAGTAGTAGTTATGCATCTTGAGCTGTGAGTTGTTGTTATTATTAATAGTAATGGTAGTAGTAGTAGTTATGCACCTTGAGCTGTGAGTTGTTGTTGTTATTAATAGTAATAGTAGTTGTAATAGTAGTAGTAGTTATGCACCTTGAGCTGTGAGTTGTTATTATTATTATTAATAATAATAATAGTAATAGTAGTAGTAGTAATTATGCACCTTGAGCTGTGAGCTGTTGTTGTTGTTGTTATTATTATTCTATCTTGAGTTGTGAGGAGAGGCAGGAAACAAGTAAATTTGTTGTTGTTGTTGTTGTTGTTATTCATCTTGAGTTGTGAGGAGAGGCAGGAAACAGGTTAATGTATTGAATGGATTGTTATTATATGATGCAACACTATTATTTTTGTCTTTGGGTTATCAATGTCGTTTCCTAATTGGTTCTACCAGAAGAACACGAAAAAAGTTCATTAAACTTTGTTTTTGCAGGAAGGCCGTCATGTTGCACATTTGGCTCTCGTTTTTCTATGAATATCTGATAGAATCTCAGCCAATTCAACAATGTTTATGGCAGCCACACGACATTTCTGGGCTAGAACAGCTACTTTCAAAACAAGGACCGCACAACTAAACAGGAAACATCATTTTGAAAGCAGGAACAGAACATATTTTTTCATATTGTGTGCCACCTTGAGTCGCCTCTCAGGCTGAGAAAGACGGCATAGGAATGCAGTAAATAAATAAATGCCCAACACTCAACATACTACATCTAACTGAACTCACTCTAAAACAGTGTTTCTCAACCTGGGGGTCGGGACCCCCGTGGGGGTCGCGAGGGGGTGTCAGAGGGGTCGCCAAAGACCATCAGAAAACATAGTATTTTCTGTTGGTCATGGGGGTTCTGTGTGGAAAGTTTGGTCCAATTCTATCATTGGCAGGATTCAGAATGCTATTTCGTTGTGGGTGAACTATAAATCCCAACAATTACAACTCCCAAATGGCAAGGTCTATTTTCCCCAAACTCTACCAGTGTTCACATTTGGGCATATTGAGGATTTGTGCCAAGTTTGATCTAGATCCATCATTGCTTGAGTCCACAGTGTTCTCTGGATGTAGGTGAACTACAACTCCAAAAAAACTCAAGGTCAATGTCCAACAAACCCTCCCAGTATTTTCTGTTGGTCATGGGAATTCTGGGTGCCAAGTTTGGTTCAATTCCATCATTGGTGGAGTTCAGAATGCTCTTTGATTGCAGGTTAACTATAAATCCCAGCAACTATACCTCCCAAATGATAAAATCAATCCAGCCCCCAACCCCACCATTATTCAGATTTGGACGTATCGGGTATTTGTGCCCAATTTGGTCCGGTGAATGAAAATACATTCTGAATATCAGATATTTACATTAAATTTTAAACAGATGGCCATCTGTCAGGGGTGCTTTGAATACAATTTTCCTGCTTCTTGGCAGAATGGGGTTGGACTGGATGGCCCGTGAGGTCTCTTCCAACTCTATGGTTCTATGATTCAAAACAGTAGCCAAAATTACAGTTATGAAGTAGCAACGAAAATAACATTATGGTTGGGGGTCACCACGACATGAAGACCTGTACTAAGGGGTCGCGGCATTAGGAAGGTTGAGAACCACTGCTCTGAAACAAGCTCTGGAAGGCAACCCTACACTAAAAACATACACATCCCGGGACTTCAGTAAGGCCTTCGACAAGGTCCCCCATGACCTTCTGGCAAGGAAACTAGTCCAATGTGGGCTAGGCAAAACTACGGTGAGGTGGATCTGGAATTGGTTAAATGGACGAACCCAGAGGGTGATTCTCCTCAAGACTTCCTCTTCTTCATCCTGGAAAGAAGTGACAAGTGGAGTGCCGCAGGGTTCCGTCCTGGGCCCGGTCCTGTTCAACATCTTTATTAATGACTTGGATGAAGGGCTAGAAGGCAGGATCATCAAGTTTGCAGACGACACCAAATTGGGAGGGATAGCCAATAGTCCAGAGGACAGGAGCAGGACTCAAAACGACCTTGACAGATTAGAGAGATGGGCCAAAACTAACAAAATGAAGTTCAACAGTGACAAATGCAAGATACTCCACTTTGGCAGGAAAAATGAAATGCAAAGATACAGAATGGGGGACAATGCCTGGCTCAAGAGCAGTACGTGTGAAAAAGATCTTGGAGTCCTCGTGGGGAGGAAGGGGAACATGAGCCAGGAATGTGATGTGGCGGCAAAAAAAGCCAGTGGGATTTTGGCCTGCATCAAGAGGAGCATAGTGTCTAGATCTAAGGAAGTAATGCTACCCCTCTATTCTGCTTTGGTTAGACCACACCTGGAATATTGTGTCCAATTCTGGGCACCACAATTCAAGAGAGATACTGACAAGCTGGAATGTGTCCAGAGGAGGGCGACTAAAATGATCAAGGGTCTGGAGAACAAGCCCTATGAGGAGCGGCTTAGGGAACTGGGCATGTTTAGCCTGAAGAAGAGAAGGCTGAGAGGAGATATGATAGCCATGTATAAATATGTGAGAGGAAGCCACAGGGAAGAGGGAGCAAGCTTGTTTTCTGCTTCCTTGGAGACTAGGACGGAACAATGGCTTCAAACTACAAGAAAGGAGATTCCATCTGAACATGAGGAAGAACTTCCTGACTGTGAGAGCCGTTCAGCAGTGGAACTCTCTGCCCCGGAGTGTGGTGGAGGCTCCTTCTTTGGAAGCTTTTAAACAGAGGCTGGATGGCCATCTGTCAGGGGTGATTTGAATGCAATATTCCTGCTTCTTGGCAGAATGGGGGTGGACTGGATGACGGCCCAGGAGGTCTCTTCCAACTCTTTGATTCTATGATTCTATGACTTGAAGCTGCAACTCTTTAAGTGGACTCAAAGTGCTGCAATTGCAGAGTGTGGAAGGCGCCGGTGCCTGTCAGGCTCCCCAAAATGCAGCCAAACCAAGTGGCTTTAAGACTCTTTCCATGCCCTGCTCTTCTGTTGCAAGTCAAAGAGACTTGAGTGTGGAAGGCTGCAAACCTCAGACCAGCAGCAGGCATGAAATGGCAGCAGAGAAGGCAGAGAACGCACAGAAAGGGCTCCAGCAGGTGGCATTGCCGCTCTTCCCAATCTCTGGCCCGCGCATTGAAAGCCAGGTGCCACATGTCAGCGCTCTTTGTTGGTTTTGTTTGGAAAGAGTGGTGCTCTGACTGTCTGGGGAGTTTGGCCTCTTTCCCCAGGAATCTGCCTGGTTTGCGTAAGCTTCCCTTGGTGCAGCGGAGGCGCAGGGCTGGGCAGATCCTCTCTCTTCTCTCCTTTGATGACCACAGGATTTGTAGTTTGGTGAGGCATCTGCACTCTTTTATTTATTTATTTATTTAATACACTTGTATACCGCTAATATCTCAGCCTAAGTCGGCGACTCATTGCGGTTTACAACCATTAAAAACAATATACAATTTAAAACAACAACACATAGACAATACAAATTATTGGGCCACCAATAATAATACCATGCATCTCGTCAATAAAATCACAATCCAGAATTCGTCATCCATAATTAACCAGTCCTTAGTCAGCAAAATTCGGTGGTGACAGACTAACCGAATGCTTGTTTAAATAACCATGTTTTTAGTGTCTTCCGAAAGGCCATCAGCGAAGAGGCTGATCGTATCTCTATAGGGAGGGTGTTCCAAAGCCGAGGGGCCACCACAGAAAAGGCCCTGTCTCTCGTTCCCACCAGCCGCGCTTGGGAAGCCGGTGGGATAGAGAGCAGGGACTCTCCAGAAGATCTTAGGGTCCTGGTGGGCTGATAGGCTGAGATACGTTCGGATAGATAAGTTGGGCCAGAACC